AAGGCAGATTTGGAATCAGCGTTTCAAGCTCTACAAGATGATGTACAGACCATCTCGAAAGGCCACTCGACCGACCTTCCCTCCCTTGTCAGATCAAGGGCACCTTTATCATCTTCAAAATTTTTCTTGTATTCGTGGAATCTTTCAGGAAGCAATGGATCAAGTCGTCATGCCCTATGAATCGCTCTACCTCCACGACTATGACATTACAAACTTCGCAAGGTTTTTAGCTCAGATGGAATTCCTTATACGACGTGTGAGGCGGTGGGATGCGCTAACGTTGAGTCCGCTTCGGCCTACTTGTTATACAGCTATCCAAAGAAAATCGCACATTTTTGACTTGGATGAGTGAACTACCAAGAAGAACAAAATGGCTACAATTTTCGTTTGTCAGGTAACCAGCTTAGGAACGAAGCTTCTACAACGTCACATTCTAATATTTCCAAGGGACCAATGAAAGGGTAATCCACTTCCAGTATAGAATTCCTTCTTATACTACAATTTCAGAAGAGTTAACCGAATGAACACTGGTACCGCAATATTTTCCCACATTCAAGAGAGGTGAGCAGAGGAAGGCGACAGTGGATATGTCTGATTAAGAAGCAAATAGCTCACGTCTCCACAATCTTCAAGGTAGAGAAGGAAAACAAACTATTTAATCAAGCTGACATCATATGCTCATCCTGTCCTGCGAATCGATGTGGATTTTTGCAAATCAAAAATGGAACGTAGAACATTTTCGAGTGCAGGAGAACCGATGAAGCATTGTGAAGCATAGGCAGCCTGAAAGTAAGCAATTCTTATATAGAAACCAAATGATATTTTGCGAAATCTGAACAATGTGAAGAGCTAGTAGATAAAACTTGCCATGTGAGAATATCGCTCAAACGCGCCGCCTCTTCATTTTGAATGAGATGGATCTGTAGAGCTTTCACGAACTGATCTTGAATAAGCGTAACCTTCTGCAGAAATTGCGGTTTGTCCAAATGGTTGCCACTCCAGTCTGAAAGCAGAAGTGTGCTTTTGAGTTGAACTATTTTGAGTGTGCAACGCACCTGGGTTCCTATTGTAGTGGAAGAGCGTGATTGCCTTGATACAAACATACGCCTCCGTAGTTATCCTCATCTTCGAAAACGAATAAAGCAGGGTGGTGAACTTCTCAACAAGTGGACCGGCCTCCCTAAAGAACAGGTTTAGCCCTTGAGTTCCATTTATTTTGTTTGTTAAAAACATTTTATAACTTTAGCATATCCTGGATTACACACAACCGCCAGCAATTTGTTGTGAAAATCACGATAAGTGAATTAAAGTGAGATTTGGCGTAAAGGGACCTCTGTTGCATTACCAGAGTGCAGACGTTCAAGGTTGTGCCCAGTCCACAGAACTTCGTTGCGCAAGAGCGGCTTTCAAGTTGCGCATAATTATGCGAAATTCTCACTTGATTACGTGTTCGAGCGGTATCGGTTTCCCCATCACTGCTGATAGACGTTTTTGGAGGAGACGAATATTGGCAGCAGAATCCAAGAACGAGACCTGAGGAAA